CCGTCAGGCCGGCCTGACATGAAGAGCACTATATATATATATATATATATATATATATATATATATATATATATATATATATATATATATATATATATATATATATATATACTATCCTCCGTCTCTTTTTAATCGCAACATGTTGAATTTTACACTATTCACATGTTCTACTTTGACTACATTTTATATTATTATTTTATGAAAATTATTTTTTTAAAAAGGTATTGTTCAATTCATCTCATTACAAATTTTTAAAATCTAATTTTAAATATTTTTTACTAATAGAGATTAAGATATAATTACGGTCAAAAACGTGCATTGGTAAGTGTGAAATGTTGACCGTTGCAACTAAAAAAGAACGGAGGAAGTATATATATATATATATATATATATATATATATATATATATATATATATATAGGAGTTGGGTGGGGGTTGAGTGGTGGCAGTTGCCCCCTGCCCCCACCCTGGATACGCCGCTGGTTAGAAGGTGAACCATGTCTACTGAAAAAGGGAGGGGATGAAGATCGAAGGGGCCGGGCAAGGCTCATTTTTCTTACCTATATGACCATTTGTAGTGGTCAAGAGTCCAAATAGTTAAATTTGGACTCCGTCAATTTGAAAACAGTGTTTAGACTCCGTCAATACTGTTTTTCCCTGCATCCGTGCACCGTCAATAAGATACACTCTGCATATTTTTTACATATGAATTTAGTAAAATATTAATTAAATTATTATAAGTAATGTTTTACTTTTAATTTTTTCCCTTGAATAATTATGAAATAAAAAATACACATTTTGATGTAAAAATAAATAATTTTCATAATTTTTTTTAACATTTTTCTGTTAAAAAAATGAATTTGTTTAAGTGAAGTTTGATTATAGAATATTCAATTATTTGTGAAAGTTTCATGAATTAAGAATTCCTGTTTCATTTTTTTAGCTCAATAAACTGTAACAGTTAAAATTTAAAAAGAAAATCATTTTATATATCACATATGGATGTCATATGAAAGATCATAAAAATTTATGAATTTTGATATATTTTTTGAAAAAATTAAATGACAAATAAAAAAGTTATATAAGTTTAAAAAGAATTGGGATATAATGATGCAAGGGTGAAGCCAGCATGACATCATCCTCACCAAAAGAAAACATGTGGCCGTGCCTTACTTTTCCTTTTTTCTTTATTTTTTCTTTTTCCACTCCTCTAAACTCACCCTCTATATTTAACACCCTTCATCCCCTTTCCCACTTTTAATACCCCATATAAACCACCACTACAAACAATTAGGAGTCCAAAAGTTCCACATTTAACATTTTGGATTTCTAATACCTCACCACTACAAATGGTCTAAGTAGGCTATGGAGAATTTGGATCACATAAAATACGTTCTTAAGTGGTGGTGAAAATGCAGTTTTTGAAAAAAATACACGGTGACAATTTTCTAAATAAGTATTTTTTTTTTGATAAAGGTGAAAAAATGCATTATCAGAACATAAAAGTGCACCATAGCAGTGCAAAATAAAGTCCCACATTTTAGAAGTTGTGTCCTTTTTATTTGAACTACACCCTATGTACACGGCCGTTTTGATGGGGTTAATTAGGTTATTTAGAACACGGCCCCCAAATTTACGGGGCCCCAGAACTTTAAAAATTTATTAGTATTATATATTAATATGTTAATAACAATAATAAGTAAAATACAATTAGTAAGGAATAAAAGTATATATCCATCATTTTTTGGTTGGTACTTTAGTTCTCAATTACTCACATTGCTTGAATAATGAGGTGTGTTACTTTAAATCAAGAATTAAGTAAGTTTTAGATAAAAAAATATTACTACGACATTATTAAAGTGGGGCCCCAATTTTACATATGGAACCGGGGCCTCTAAATTCATTAGACGGCCCTGCCTATGTATATAATTTTGATCACATGAGAACTCGATATAATGAGAAAAATGAAAATGAATCTGCAACGTTAAATTTGAGAATTGTGTATTACGTGAAATATAAACGTGCACTCCCATAAATTAGAAAGTGCGGCATCATTATGGTAAATAAATTCAATTTTTTTGGCTATTTGCAGTAGGTGTGCATTACTATAACCATAATTGTGCATTTGTGCGCCTAATTAAGCATCGTTTTGAAACATTCTCATGTCTGACGGAAAGAAATGCAATCGCCGAAACCGGACACTATGTCACTATGTGTATGCATATATCCGCAGTATATTTTTCAAAAAATATCTAGATATTTTAAACTGAACCCACATTATACAATTTGAAACCCCAACCGGCCAACCCCAACACGATATTTTTGACTTGGTCACTAAACTATACTGAAATAACTATACTGAAATGTATTAAAACGGCTGCTGACATTCATTTTTTAAGAACCAGAAGTCACTTAGGTGTACACGACTACACATGCGATCTTTAATTCTAGTTCAGTTGGGACGTACGATGACTACATGCTTTAGACATAATTTAATGGACTCAAAACAATTAATTAATAGAAAGTGAGTGTATTACTCCCTCCATTCTATTATCTTTGTCTCATCTTTCTTTGTTTATCTCATATGTTAACTTTGTCTCACATAATGATCGATATTTTTGTGATCTGATTTAATTTTACTTTATTTTTATTTTTCCAATTCAATATTTCTTACTTCATATTTTTTACTCCCTCCGTCTCATTAGAAGGTTCTCACTTTCCTTTTTTGGACGTCCCATATAAAGGTTCTCATTTCTAATTTAGGAAACAATTAACAATCTTAAGTGACAAATTAGTCATTAAATATTAAAAATAATACATTTATAATATCACAATTATCAATACTAACTACATTATAATATATACCTATTAAAATTATTTCTCAAAATGTACTTCATTTCATCATCATTTTCATTTGCCCCAGTGCCGCAAAGGCTCCCACCTACGGTGGGGTAAGGGGGGTCGGATGTACGCAGTGTTACCCCTGTACTAAAGCATAGAGAGACAGTTTCCGGATGACCCATAGTAAATGTACTTGAAGTACTTAATTTAATTATTGTCTAAATAACCGTGCCGTTTTTCTTTGAGAACCTTCCAACGGGAAGGAGGTAGTAGTAATTTCAAGAACTCAATTGAATTCAATCCAATAGGACCAATAATTATATTTATACTCCCTCCGATTCAAAAACAAGTTACACATTTGACTTCACACATATTAAGAAAAGAAATTTGACTTTATTGTGAAGTGCTTTGTTTGGCACTGTTTGGACACTGTTTGGACACTGTTTGGAACTGTTTTGATGTAAATAATTTGCCAAATAAGGAAAGGATTGAAAGTGGAATTTAATTTTGGAACTGCCCGAAAAGGAAAGGTGAATTTTGTTTTTGAATTGGAGGGAGTATTATTTTTGTGTGGTCTAATGTTTCTTAAACACTATTGGTTACTGCTTTCATATAAACCATGTTCTTGGCTTATAAAGAGTATCTCGTAGGAACCCACAATTAAACTTGAGGTTCCTATCAATTCTATAAATTTCCGAACAATTATAGATTTATGAAAGAACTAACTGCGAATATTGGTTAGCACCTCATGATTCCCAGCAGTTTTAACATTTTTCCCTGAAGAGTTAGAGGACCTTCAACAGGGGGGAAAACCACAGTACCATCATCATATAGTAGCTCAAAGTCAAGAACATGATCTAGAGAAAGTATATTAATTAAGTTTGGAAGTTTGACCAAAATTTTAAATTGATTTGGATTTTAGTTTTAAAATGTTAAAATGTGAGTGTTACAGGACCTTGCAATAGATTTGATTGGTCCAAACCAGTATCACAAAGACAAGGTCGTCAACTAATTAACTTACTCAAAATCTAGTTATAACTTATGAGAGCTCTTCTCATCAGGCCGGCCTGACGGGCTGCCCCGTCCGGCCGAGCCCGTTTGGGCACCTTCCCGGTAGAATTTTTTGATGAAATTTTTTGAGCATGTTCCTCATCAAGTCTAGTTTGTCCATACCAAATTTCAGCTCAAAATTCGATCGGGAAGGTCGTCAAATGATTTTTGCAAGTTAACTGGTCCGGAATATGTATTTTCCGGACGGGGCAGCCCGTCAGGCCGGACTGATGAGATGATTTCTCATAACTTATAATCAAGTCTGCCCAATGTATTTAAGTTTAGATTTGTGCTTATACACTCAACAATCCACTACAAATAAATGTTTGAAAGAATAGTTTAGTAAAACTTGTAAACTTTTGTACTGAAGCTCTTTATATAGAGGTTACAAACTTACAAACTAACAAGCAGTCTTATTGTGTAGGAGAGTTGAGTACCCAAATATTCCTATTTGAATTGATGTAGATGAGGGGATCTTTGTGCCACTCGTGTAGTACCTATTTCAATTAATTTGACTCTTACCCTCATTAAAATGCGTGGTGGATTGTACACCTTTTTGTGTACATCATTTACACACATCCTCTGTCTACACAGACAGAGGTGTTTGTATACAAACAAATTGGGTATTTCGAGACGAGTTGTCTGTTTGTGTAGAAACACAAGTTTCGCGAATGGTGTACACAAAAAAGTGTACACCTAACATTTTTGTTACCTCCATCCCCTAATTTTGATGGTCAAGAAGATGGTGCCGCTGGTGTGGTTCTTAAAGAAAGTGAATTTATGTAATTGATATTGAATTGATAAAGTAAGAATAAATTAAAACTGATATAAAACCACACACAAATATTACCAAATTTGGTGTGAGACAATATTGAAACATATCAAAAAGGAAAGATGAAAACCTCAACGATTTGGAGACTTGTCAAACACTAATAAGTTTTTTTTTTTGGTTTTAGATTACCAAATCTTCAATTATGAATTATTGAAGAAAAAGAGAAAGATCAAGAAGAACAGAAAATGACAGTTAGTTTTTTTTTTTTTTTTTTTTTTTTTTTTTTTTTTGTAATTTGAAGAAGAAGAAGGAAAATTGTAAAAGGAAATAAGAATAGCTAGAGAAGAAGATTAGAGAAATTAGCGGACAAAGGGAAGGATTCAGAAATCTGAGTTCAACTAGACTACGGAGTATAAAAATATGTGAGTGTTCAACTCGAAATCTGAGTTCAGCTAGCATGTTCGTTTAACCTATGATAATAAAGCATGTTCTTTTGATTTGACCAAATAATAAAGAGAATCTTAAGAATATAAAATTACTAGTTATATTTGAGAAAGTAGTGTTGCAATTTTATTTTGAACAATTAATTCTGCAGATTACCATATAATTCTTCTCAAATTCCATTCTGAGCTTTCTCTGTCTTTTGTCAGTCAAACTGCCTATATATAGTGTCAGATTTTACACATGAAAGTTCACTTCACCATACACCCTCTAAACACTCAGCTCTGATCTACTATCGTATACTGTATTAATTTTCCTTCAATCCACCTCTCAAGAACCCATATATATCTATCACCTCAACTGAGTGAACTAAGAAAAATGACAGGCTACAAAGGTATACTAATGGAAATGAAAATGATTATCCTTTCACTTAGACAAAACTACATGAAGCTTGGATTCCATTTGTTGATCATCCATGCAGTGTATAAACTCTTACACCCTCTATTACTAGGGGCATTTAAGTCCCACTTCTGTGTCCTTTATTTCAAAGAAATGGTCCAAAGGCTGAATCTTGGACCACTCATTACATGCTCAAGTCTTATGGTTTTCTTGGGTATGTTCTATTTCATTAGTAGGCCAAGGAATGTGTATTTAGTGGACTTCTCATGTTACAAGCCTAACCCTGAGCTGATGTGCCCTACTGAAAGGTTTATGGAAAGGTCAAGGCTAGCCAAGGTTTTCACAGAGGAAAATCTGTCATTTCAGAAGAAGGTTTTGGAAAGATCTGGACTGGGACAAAAGACTTATTTCCCTGAAGCCATTTTGATCAGTGTGCCTGAAAAGTCTTGTTTGGAGCAGGCAAGGAAAGAGGCAGAAATGGTCATCTTTGGATGCATTGATGAGCTTTTGGGTAAGACTGGGGTGAAAGGGAAGGATATTGGGATAGTTGTGGTTAACTGCAGTGTGTTTAACTCAACCCCATCACTTTCTGCTATGGTGGTTAACCATTACAAGCTTAATAGCAATGTGAAGAGTTTCAACCTTAGTGGCATGGGCTGTAGTGCTGGACTCATCTCCATTGACCTTGCCAAACATCTCCTACAGGTCTCATCTCACTCTTCCTCTCATACTCTCATACATGCTGCTGCATGAGTACTGCCCTGCATCTCAGCATCTGCATGTTTATGCATTTAAGTCTGCATCTGTTTATACATTAAACTTTTGACCCCATTTTTTGACAATTACTCCGTAATAAACTTCTTTCGGTCCTCAAAAAGTTCGTCAAATTAATTTTTCTTGGTTAATGAAATTCAACTTTGGCCAATAATATTTTTTAATACGAAATTATTTGGAATATGGAAATAATATCAAAATGTTCCTTATTCAAATATTTTCTTAAAAGTATAAACGTCATACGAAGTAATTTATATAAAAATGTAATAATAATTAAAATCATTATTCAAAGTATGCAATACTAAGAAAAGTCAGTACGGTGAACCTTATAGAGGCGGGAGGAAGTACACATCCCTATGAAATTGTCAACAAATGCCCTTGTTTGCCATTTTTAACTCTCTCATTTTTTTAACCACTCTCATAAGTCTCATTTACTTATTCATGTTGGCTATAATTGTACAGATGAGTAATTCAGTACTGTACTGTAGTCTGTAAGACTCATGTGAATTTGGCTGAACAGAAAAAATACGCAGTATGAAGGAGTCCTTCACAAATTTTTATACGGAGTATTAAAAATAATGTTATATACTCGGCGTCTCCGCCCGAATTAAAAATCTATTTTCTTACGAACGTTGGTGGACGAGGATCTGAGATTACGGAAGTGCCAAGCCAGTACATTTGTTTAACAGAAATTGCCCTAAATAGGAGTAAAAACGTTTTGAAATTCCAAAATAGGACTATCGTGTTTTTTATTCCTTAAATAGGAGTAATCTGCCAAGTTTGGAAGAAAATGCCATGTTTAAAGCCTAGTAATGCCAAACTTGCAAGAATAGAATTCAAATACCCCATAGTATAATTTTAAAATTTTCTAAATAGTATTAATCCAAAGAGTAAATGACATTTTCAAAGACGAATAATGTGATCTTGATGATATTTTTAGGAAATAATTACATATTTATGACTAAAATGAAGGCTGTTTACAAAAATGTGATTAGTGACTTGAATAGTAATAAAATCATAGTAACTTATGTTTAAATTTTAAACTCGAGTTACTATGACACTACATTGTGCCATATTTGTGCAAATAAGTTTTACTTTAGTAACATTTATATAAAAACCCCAATTTTCAGAGAAAGTGACATTTTTTTACTTAACGATAATTTTTTTTCACCAACGGGAAATGGTGGGAGATGGAGATGCTGGGAGGTGGCAGAGCCGGCGAGAAAAGCCTCCACAATTTTTTATATAGAGTATACAATTTATTTTTAATTTTTTTTTGTATGTAATTTTTTATATTCTTTCACTATTTTATGACTAAATTAATTAATTTTTTTTTTATTTTTATGTTTTTATTACAAATAAAAACATGACTTTCTTATTAACTTGGTCATTATAATTTATGTTCAATTTCTTACATTTAAATAAGTATGATACTGTACTATATTAATTATTAGTCATATTTATATAAATAAATTTTATTGCAATATTTTTTTAAAACCTTAACTTTTATACTAAGAAAAAATTACATTAATATTAATCTTTTATTGTGGTGGACAAAAATATTAGTTAGTAATTATTGATGACTATAATTGTGTTTAAAGTTTACATTGTAGTAACTTCCATGTTAATACCATGTATACTTTGAACACAATTATAATCTAATAAATAGGAAATAATTTCTTAGTTTATGATATTTTTATTAGTAATATTCAAGAAAACTCGTAAACTAATGGATATATCGTACTGTTTTCTCTCTCTCTTGTATTTCTTACAATGCACGTAGTACACATATGCCAACAGATCAAATAGGTCCTTGTACTATCTCCAAACCATCACTTAAGATAATGCACTCAAAAAAGTGTTACTTACTTCCATCTACAAATAAAAAACAGTCACACAAATGACACCCCATCCCTAAGGGCCCCAAGCACTGACCGGACAACTAACTGTGATGATGTAAATTGAGTTTTGATCTCACTCTCATGGAAAGAGAGTGGGGCTTCATCCCAAGTCATTGCTTAGCTTGGAGTTGAACCCGAGATGGTAACCTGATTTCGCAGGTTATATGTTTATGTGGCATTTTTTATTTTTTAAGTTTTCTTTTACTTTCTTTTAGTTTTCTTTTTACTTTATTATTTTATTTTCATCTTTCCGCATCTCCTTTTAAGCAACTCCATCATCACCATTTTTAATCAGATTGAGATTGATCTACAGTTTTGGAACGAAGAAGTTTGTGAAAATAATCAAACATCTTGATAATCAAATTACGATGACTGACCCTGTTAAATACTTTTCTTCTTTCCACCAACACCGTTTTCTCCTTCCAAGATTTCAATCTTTTGCTCTACTGAATTTTGGGTCTTTCTTTTTCAATTGTGTGCAATTGTCATCATTTTCTGGCATATGTTTCTCTGGCTTATGAGCTGAAATTTGTTATAAATAAATTAGACTTGATGAGGAACATGCTCAAAAAATTTCATCAAAAAATTCTACCGGGAAGGCCCTCAAACGGGGAAGGCCGCACGGGGCTGTCCGGTCAGGCCACCTGACTCGAACAGCCCTCCATATATATGCATATACAATTGTAAGATACGTATGAATGGCAGAATGGGTTAAGGAAACTGGAAGGAGAGGGAAAAAAAAGGTAAATAGAGAAGAGAAAAGAAACGGAAATGAAAACTGAAAACAGGCCACATGAGCAAGGAACCTGCAAAATCAGGTTACCATCCGGCATTAGGTCAATGGTCTTAAATGACACTTGTATTTGTAGATGGATGCAAATGACACTTTTTTGAGTATATATGGTCCTAAGTGATAGTTTGAAGATAGTAAAATGGTTTATTTGACCCTTTTCTCATCTACCTTGTATTCCATTTTAATCATGCATTTTGAAAGAGGAGATTTACTTAAAATAACACTCAAATAATGCCATTTTCCAAAAATATGATCTACTAGTTTGAAATGTTATACTACGTGGATAAGAATTTATACTCCCTCCGTCCCTTAAAACTTTGCCAACTTTCCTTTTTTGGTTGTCCCAATAACTTTGCCACTTTCTATTTTAAGTAAAGAATTTGTGGTTCCAGTTAATTCTCTCTCCTCTGCACAAACCTCAACCACACAGTTTTTACTTTATTAATCTCCGTGCCGGTCAAACTTGGCAAAGTTTCAAGGGACGGAGGTAGTATTTGTCATTGGATAAAAATAGCTTTATAGGACTGGAGCACTGCTTCCAGAGCCGAGTTTAGGCCCTAGGAACCTAGGCATGGGCTCGGACACCAATTTTATGCGGGGCACCATTGCAAAAAACTATTATTAATGTTATAAATAACTAAAATAAGTGGTAAAAGGTTTATAAATATACTAATGAATATGAGTTGTTGGATATTCCTATATCCAATTAAACAATGTACCAAACACATAAAAAAAACGATATTGTAGATGATAGACACACGATGTATAAATAATAGATTGATATAAAAGTAATTAAACTTTGTTAAGCGAAAATTCTATCACGGCTACACGTGTACAAATAGGTAACAATGGACATTTAATATCTAATCAATTTCAAGATATATTCATCAAATTTGGTTTTATTGTAATCTCGTTTCATAAATATTTTCTTAAATTTAAAACATATCAAATCTAATCTTAAATTTGATCTTTATAAAATCTATTCTTAAGTACATTCTTTACAAAATATATCAAATATTTTTTCATATGAACAATGTTTCTTCAAATATTACTTATATTTTATTTTTGTTTCAAAGTAGGACTCTAGTTTATGTTGATATATTAGGGTGGAGCTAGAGGGGGAGCCAACCTAGGCTCTGCTCCACCACAAATTTAAAAAATGCCTAAATTTGTAAGGTCTAGAGTTCTGTGTAATGGTTTTTCAAAAATATTTTTTGTATCGGCTCATTCCAGCCTAGTGTTCTTACTCCGCCCCTGGAGACGGCCCTGACTGTTTCCCCCAAGTCGTTGGACTGCCAGACCGCCACTAGTCGCCAGAATTTTTCTAGATTGGCTACACCGTTCTGACAGGTTTCCATCTCCATTGTAATGATCGTATGTCGCCGTTGAGCTATCGCTCCCATCGAATTGACTGGTCACCAACAAACTTACCTTTATTATGCTAGAAAATTAGCGAACAATTATTTAGGTTAATTAATTAACTTATTAAAGTTTGAGTAGAAAGTTAATGTTTCATCAGATTTAGATTAAAGTTGGAGTAGAAAGTTAACGTTTCATCAGATTTAGGGAAAACCAGACATATGATCATATTTTCATAAAAATGTTAAGTTTTTGTTTTAATTTGTGCAATTTCTTCTTTTAAAAGATCATTTCACAAGTCTGAGGATAAAACTGTAATTTTGTTTTTTTTTTAATATCAAAATTGGCATTGACTAGAAGTGCTTATTTTGCCAAGCGATGATTGGGTGGGTGGATAAATGGGTACAGTCACATACTTCGTATATATTTTGATTAGTTAATAGTTATTGTATAATAAATATGCTGAAAGAATATCAAAATTTAAAAGTAGAACATAAAATTGAAGCATTTGAAAAATTAGATCCAAGTGTGAAGACACATTATTAGACATATATAACAGATTGTCAAAAATAGAATAAGAACAAATTGGATGACAAAGTCTTCTTATGCTTTTTTGACAAAGCGTAAAAACAAAATGGATAACAAATTGTAAGACATTAGATCCAACTTCCAAGTGTGTGATAGAACTTATTTGGTCTTTTAGATGATAAAACGATACAATTTATCAATAATGTTTTATTATGCCGGTTTCATATCTCATGTTTTCAGTTTATCAACCTTAAAAGTCTATTAATTTAAGAGTATATTGATTATTTTTAAAAATTCATGAATTAAACAAAACTCATCACAATCCATATACAAATACAATACACCTTCTAAAATATATTTAAATATAA